ATCCCAAAACCTCCACAAGAACCCCATCCCCAAAATATAATAACAAACAAATTCTACTTTCCATTGCATTCTAATTTTTTGTTAGAAGTATTGCCGATTTTTCTGTGTTAAAGCCTAAGCCCTCCTGCATTTTGCCGTGGCTTTTGCTCCACAAACATCAACTCATGCAAAGTTCTTATTTGATAATTTCAGGTAAGTAGCATTCCTTCATCTTATATCTCCACTTTCTTCCAGAAGCATATACTTTTAACATGCAAGGCATATGTCCCTTCATTTTCCCTCACCATAACTTAATTATTGTTCCCCTACATCTTCACACTTAGTCCTATCATCTATTCATATATATATATATATTTATATATAATATATATATTATATAATATATATAGTTATATGAGATTAATGGCGTATCTCTTGCATAGGAGGGGATTTCACTCATTGACGCCATCTAAATCACATGATGAGCGACATTATGGGATGATCCGCTCCGTTGAACTTGATCTACATATTTCTAAAACCCCACATACCAAGTTTGGGTGAATCCGGTCGTCGTTGACCTCCATTCGAGCCATGTGAAAAAGTTCTTATTATTCAAAACGTTAAAAATTGATACGAGGCGTGGATGAAGGGTCAAACGACGACGGGTTCACCCCAATATGTAGATCAAGTTCAACGAGCGGATCATCCACAATGTCGCTCAATCATGTGCTTTTAGAGGCGTCAAGGAGGAAATCACCTCCTATGACAAGGATACCCATTAATCTCTCTCTCTTCTCTCTCTCTCTCTCTCTCTCTCTCTCTCTGCTATATATATATATATATATTATATATATATATATATATATATATATATATATATATATAATATAGTATATATTATATAATCTTTAGCAAATTATTGAAAATAAAACTTGAAGATAAGTTAAAATGGCCAATAAGCTATTAAACAAAACTGCAATGCACACAGAAAAAAAAACACAAATCAATAACAACATGGTCATATATTTCTCGTAAAAATAACTAAGTGGACATAATCAACATTCATTAGAAACACAAAACACTAACCTTCAACTTCTTCCATTGGATCAGCTTCATCTTCAGAAGATGTCCAATTCCCATTAGTTGAATGCTGGCTTGAGGAGGCAACATCATTCAAAGCAGTCAGAATTGCTTCAGCGTGTGCAGATTTATCTATGCATTCATCAAAAGCGTGTCTTGGTGACAAAGAACCTGCAAAAAGCATATGAAGATTGTACATTACATTCCTCGAAAGTTTTAGCGCATGACCTTGTAGGGCTAAGATAGATGAAAATAAAAGTACATGGGCTACCACCATCATCATCAATCATAGGATGATAGGGTGTCTTAGGCTCGTTGATTTTCTGCCTCACTGGTTTGGTTGCTTCAATCTCATCCAAGTTTGCTTCATTCCATCTTACACGACCCTTGCTACTAAATGAACACAAAAAAATTAGATTAAATATCTACCTTCAGAACAAAAAATATATATATAAACAGTGGCACAACTTCACCAAATAATAAGAAAATGCCAGTAGAAAACATCCAAAAGAATCGAGGCATATGCAGCAGTGGATACAGCATTCTTTACAGCGTGAAATACCCATTTAACTTATGAAACAATCAGTTGATTAATCAAGCCGCTTATGCATAAAATCAGACTCATAAATTCATGCATATTAATTAACTTCATAAAAAAAACTTCTAAAACAAATAAATCTCTCCTCTGGTAAGTTGAGAGGAGATAAAATAAAACCAAACTGAATACAAAGATGAGAAGAGCATCAATAAGAGAATTTCCATCCTCATACCGATAATATCCGTATTTATCAGCATTAGTTGGTAAACAGAAGTACTTGCATGCTTGTGGAAGCATATATTTGTCGTGTGTGAGTGTTAAGCCATGCCAGGTGCCTAAGCTCCTTACATTACCACCCAGGACAAGCTTGATCAACCAACATTCCACTTCAAGAATGGACATCCAGTGATAGTTGTGGATCGAGTAGAATGATAATTGAAAATGACTATTGTCAAGAAGTTGTTAGAATAAATAGCAAGTAAAAAAAATTGCTTGTGGAAATCGTGATAACGATAGACCATGAAGCAACCAATTTATAAATACTCAATCTACTAAAGTAAATTATTCATTGAATTTTATTATAATTTGCATGCATAAAATGATGATTTACTTTCACATGCGCATTGTTTTAGCTGATTATGCAAATCATCAACTTTTTGCTTTATTCTATTGTGCTTCATTCCACACTGCTGCACTAAATGTTTAGTGACATTAAGGCAGTAAAGCCATCAGATGGTTCATGACAAAAAGAACCATCTGATTATGTATAAATCATCAGCGTTCTTGTTAATCCTGTGTTTTCAATTCCACACTGCTGCCCCAAACGTTAAAGTGACATTAATGCAATAAGGCTATTAGTTGGTTGATAACAAACAGAACTGGATGCTCACATGTTTCACACTTTTGATTTAAGCAGGAATTTCATCATAATGACTGAGTAGATATTCAACATTAGTCTTCAGAAGTCAAATGATTACAATAAACTTCACCACGTAATCTATGATCGAGAATTGACAACTCTAATAGTCTAATGCCCACTGTTCCAATAAATCCACCATTTAATTGACATTGGTAATATCAACATGTGAATAGATTAATCAATCGAGGCGAGCAGATTACCAACCATTCCAATGATTTTGCTAGTTATAAACGTGCACAAGTGTAGGGATTTAGTCAACAACATATGCTGTTTAGGTTCAGATAACAAAGTGGACATTGGAACCAAATCTATAAAAGTTTCAATACATAGTATGAAGCAATTAACTATAATAGTTCATTGACCAGAAACAAATTGCAGTGCATGTATTTTATAAAACTTATGCAAGATAAAAACATTGAAGAATTGTTGCGATTAGCAAAATAAAATAAAATAAGCAGACAAATGATATAAGAATAATGGTAGATACTAGCACTTGTAGTAGAGTTTGTTACCTCATATTGTGAACTTCAGATCTCTGTACTGACACAAAGCTAACCAGCTAGACCTGCATTAAATAAAACCAAGTCCTTCAGTAATTTTAAAATAAGGGCAATTTTCAATCATGGTACAGGCGTTTTCCAATGTTAGCCAAAGTTCTTTCAACGCAATTGGGGAAGCCAAGCTCCTCTCTTAATGAAAGGCTGCTAGCAAAGATAATGGACAGGATAAATTGACTAACATTACTTT